ACACACACACACAGTGTACACACACACAGTGTACACACACACAGTGTACACACACAATGTGTACACACACACACAGTGTACACACACACACAGTGTACACACACAGTGTACACACACACAGTGTACACACACAATGTGTACACACACACACAGTGTACACACACACAGTGTACACACACACAGTGTACACACACAATGTGTACACACACACACAGTGTACACACACACAATGTACACACACACAGTGTACACACACACACAGAGACACACACACACACAATGTACACACACAATGTACACATACACACAATGTACACACACACAATGTACACACACAGTGTACACACACACAGTGTACACACACACAGTGTACACACACACACACAGTGTGTGTGTGTGTGTACATTGTGTGTACGTACACACACACATTGTGTGTGTACACACACACACATAGTGTACACGTACACACAATGTACACACACACACTGTGTACACACACACACAGTGTACACACACAGTGTACACACACACACTGTGTACACACACACACAGTGTACACACACAGTGTACACACACACACACAGTGTACACACACAGTGTACACACACACAATGTGTGTACACACACACACAATGTGTGAGCAGATGTTGGTTGTTGCTGTGACTGTTGGCTGTTGGTGGTTGTAGTTATTGTGGTTGTAATTGTGCAGTTGTAATTGTTGGTTGTAGTTGTGGCTGTTGTTGTAGTTGTGGTGTAGTTGTAGTGGTAGTAGTTATTGTGGTTGTAGTTGTTGTTGTGGTAGTCGTTGTAGTAGTTGTGGTAGTGGTTGTTGTGGTTGTTGTTGTTGTAGTAGTAGTGGTAGTAGTTGTTGTGGTGGTTGTAGTTGTTGTTGTGGTTGTTGTGTGCGTAGTTGTGATGTATAGTTGTTGTAGTAGTTGTAGTTGTAGTAGTTGTTGTGGTGGTTGTAGTTGTTGTGGTTGTTGTGGTGGATGTAGTTGTTGTGTGTGTGTAGTTGTGGTGGTAGTAGTTGTAGTAGTTGTGGTAGTAGTTGTTGTGGTTGTTGTTGCAGTAGTTGTAGTAGTGGTTGTTGTGGTGATTGTAGTAGTTGTTGTAGTAGTTGTAGTAGTGGTTGTTGTGGTGGTTGTAGTAGTTGTTGTAGTAGTTGTAGTAGTTGTTGTTGTGGTGGTTGTAGTAGTGGTTGTTGTGGTGGTTGTTGTTGTTGGGCGTGTGGTTGTGGTAGTTGTTGTGGTGGTTGTGGTAGTAGTTGTGGTAGTGGTTGTTGTGGTGGTGGTTGTTGTTGTAGTAGTTGTGTTTGTAGTAGTTGTAGCAGTAGTTGTGGTGGTAGTAGTTGTAGTAGTGGTGGTTGTTGTGTGCGTGGTTGTGTTAGTTGTTGTAGTTGTGGTAGTTGTAGTAGTGGTTGTTGTGGTGGTTGTTGTTGTAGTAGTTGTGGTAGTGGTTGTTGTGGTGGTTGTGGTTGTAGTAGTTGTAGTAGTTGTGGTGGTTGTAGTTGTGGTGGTTGTAGTTGTGGTTGTAGTAGTTGTTCTGGTGGTTGGGCGTGTGTGTGTAGTTGTGGTAGTAGTTGTGGTAGTTGTAGTAGTGGTGGTTGTTGTTGTAGAAGTTGTTGTAGCTGTGGTGGTTGTTGTGGTTGTTGTTGTGTCTGTGTGTGTGTAGTTGTGGTAGTTGTTGTGTGTGTGGTTGTGTTAGTTGTTGTGGTAGTAGTTGTGGTAGTTGTTGTAGTTGTGGTGGTTGTAGTAGTTGTGGTGGTTGTAGTAGTTGTTGTAGCTGTGGTGGTTGTTGTGGTTGTGTCTGTGTGTGTGTAGTTGTGGTAGTTGTTGTGTGTTTGGTTGTGTTAGTTGTTGTGGTTGTGGTAGTAGTTGTGGTAGTTGTAGTAGTGGTTGTTGTGGTGGTTGTTGTTGTAGAAGTTGTTGTAGCTGTGGTGGTTGTTGTGGTTGTTGTTGTGTGTCTGTGTGTAGTTGTGGTAGTTGTTGTGTGTGTAGTTGTGGTGGTTGTTGTGGTAGTAGTTGTGGTTGTAGTAGTTGTAGTAGTGGTGGTTGTTGTTGTTGTGGTGGTTGTTGTGGTTGTTGTTGTGTGTCTGTGTGTGTAGTTGTGGTAGTTGTTGAGTGTGTGGTTGTGTTAGTTGTTGTTGTGGTAGTAGTTGTGGTAGTTGTGGTAGTGGTTGTTGTAGTAGTTGTGGTGGTTGTAGTAGTTGTTGTGGTGGTTGGGCGTGTGTGTGTAGTTGTGGTGGTTGTTGTGGTAGTTGTGGTGGTGGTTGTTGTTGTAGAAGTTGTTGTAGCTGTGGTGGTGGTTGTTGTGGTTGTGTCTGTGTGTCTGTGTACGACCTCCAGGCGCGGCAGCTCCACCACCACCACCACCGCCGTCACCACCACCGCCACCACCACCACCATCACCGTCACCGCCACCACCACCACCACCGCCACCACCACCACCACCATCACCGTCACCGCCACCACCACAGAGGAGTCGGCGTCGCCGCACGTGG